ACTCACCTCAGCCTCCCAAGGCGCGGGATTACAGGCTGAGCCACCGAGCCCGGCTTGCTCCCATTTTGATGGAGATTTAATTCTGGGTTTTTTTTTTTGTTTTTTTTTTGGAGTTGGAGTCTCACTCCATCGCCCAGACTGGAGTGCAGTGACCGCTCCCGGCCACCCATAGCCTCGACCTGCTGGGCTCTGGCGATCTTTCCACCTCAGTCTTCCAGGTAGCTGGAACTACAGATGTGCGCTACCCCGCCCGGCTAATTTTTTGATTTATTGTAGAAATGAGGTCTCGCCAAATTGCCAGGTGGGTCTCACACCCGCGGGCTCAGGCAATCCACTCACCTCGGCCTCCCAAAGTGCAGGATTACAGGCTGAGCCACCGAGCCTGGCCTAATTCTGGTTTATGTGAGGAAAAAAAAGGCTGACCAGATGCAAATGACATGCTATGGCCTAAGAAACCCAGATGGCCAGGCCTCCAGGGTCCCCAGCTGCACTTAGGGGTACAGTAGAACCCTAGGAGGGCAGGGGTGGCGGTCTCCTCAGCCCAGTCCACACGGGGGAGTGTTGTCATCACTGTCATTGTCATCATCACTACAGCTAGCCGTCATCGACCACTTCCTTTGTGCAGAGACTGTTCTCAGCATTCCACGTGACCTACTGAATTCTCAGTAGAGGCCAGGACGATTACCATCTGTGAACTCGCTCAAGACCACCAAGCAGTGGTGAAGCTGGAGTCTGAACCAAGTTCTCCCACAGTCCACATGTTGCACTCCACCGCTAGCTGCCTGGTGCCCTGGGTCCCTGCTTCCAGACACCCTAACTAGAAGTTCTCCCTGCATTGTGTGCGAGGACCACCAGTTCCCTGTGACATTAGGAGGGCAGAGAAGCAATCAGTGAGGCCTGGAAGATGGGCGGGGACTAAGGGAGAAAGGATAGGCAGATTTGGGCTCAGCCGAAGGAAGAGCTCACAAAGGTCAGAGTCAGGCAGCGTGAGATGGGCAGGCTTGCGAGGTCGTGAGCTCTCTGACCCTGGAAGCAAGCAGGAGCAGGGGTCACCAAGGGATTCACACTCCACCTCCTAGAATAGATGCTGAGGCCCAGGAGGGGTGGGGGGTGGGGGGCACCCCGGGGCAGGCGCTGTGGCAGACCTGTTGAAATTCTCCTGCACCAAGTTGGTGTTCATGTAGCGAAGCTCCACCACCAGGAACTTCATCAGGGGCAGGATGGCCTGCGGAGGGGTGGGAGCACAGCCAGCTCTGACTCACTTTGGCCCCACCCCCATTCCCTTGCCCCACGGGCTTGGCGGGTGGGGGTGGAGAGACAGGGCCAGGAGCTTTCTTATGCTGACATAAGCCCTGTCAACCTCTCTGCCTTCTCCCCGTGGCTCAGTCTGCTCCAGTCACACTGGCCTCCTCTCCAGACCTCGACCCTGCCAGGCCTGGTGCTGCCTCAGGACCTTTGCCTGGAAGACTCTTACCCTAGAAACGCTCATGGCTCCTTGCTTCCTGTAGGTCTTGACTCAGCTATCATCCCTGAGTAAGGCCTTCCCTGGCCATTATCTAAAAATATAACCCTCTGACGCTTCCCACCCCTGTCTCTGTTTTAATTTTCTCTTTAGCACTTATCATTATCTAACACACTATATGTGCCTCCATGTGCGCACGCATACACATCTGGGTGTATATTTATAGTTAACAGCTCGAACTATTGCTACAGTTATGTATACTTTCTTTACCTCTACTACTGGAACGTAAACTCTAGGAAAGCAGGGGTTTTTATCATGTTGTTCACTGGCCTTGCCCCAGTGCTTAGATCAATGCCTGGGACAAAGTGGGTGCTTAAAAAATCAAAAGTATGTTATGACCTGTCCCAACTTATAGATAAGGAAACTGGTCAGCTGGCTTGTATAAACAGGACCAGGAGGCAGCTGAGCAAGACGGACACTGTTTGGTTGCAAAGCCCCCTCCCATCCCCACTGCAGCCCCCACAGTGACCCTTGGTGCTGGAAGAACCTGTGGAGTGACCCAACCCATTCTCTTGAGCATCCAAGGAGGAAGCAGAGGCCCAGGGAGAGAACACGCCTTGCCCAAATCTGGGGGGATCTTACCTCTGACACCCCAAGGCCTTCGGTCCCCTACCCACCCTGAGCCCCCTTCACGACCCCAGGCCCATAGATATGGCGGGGCAGCGAGCAGGGAAGTCACTCACATCCTCAGGCAGGACAGACTCTCTGATGCCCACAAGTTTCTGGATGTGGTTGGCGATGCCTACCTCCAGCTGGGGACACAAAAAGGTAGAAGGAAGGAGGCTGGGGCCTGAGTGGAAGATCAGGAGCGTTTGTCTGGGACCTGAGTTTAGGTGCAGAAAGAGGTGGGGGCTGGACATCAGCCCAGATTCTGCGGGGGCCAGGTTTCAGACTGCAGATGGATGGGATGGGCTGGGGTCACGGGTCACTGTGGACAAGCGGCAAGGTACCTGCTCAGCCAGGGTGCGGACGCCGGTGCGGATCTCGTGGCCCAGCCCTGCCAGTGCGCTCTGCAGCTGGGCGTGCAGCGTATTCTGCAGCTGCCCCTGCTCCAGCACGGCCCCTACCCGCTGCTCCAGGGCCTCCCACGCCAGCTGGGCAGGCAGCTTGGCGATCACCAGCCGCAGCTGCTCCATGTCGTTCACCACCACGCACAGCTGGGGACAGGCATGGGAACAGGGAGGCAGAGCTTCCTGAACTGGGTCAGGCCTGGCGCCCCCACCTGGCCAGACCCCCCAGCTCCAGCTCTGGCCTTACCATGTTGGCTGCCTGGCCCTGATCCTTCTGGCCTGCAGAGAGCTCACGGGCCCGGGCCTTTATAAGGCTACAGTACACCAGGGCCAGCCGACAGGTGTCCTGGGGTGGGTGGGACAGAGGGAGTGGATCAGTGGGCGGGGCAGCCAGGAAGGGCCGATGGGGGGGCATGGGAATCTCAGCCACTTGGGGGATTTAGGACACAGGCCCTGGGAGGCTGTTAGGGTGAGAGCTCGGGAGACACGGTGGATGGCAGTGAGGCTGTCCTAGGACGTGGGGAAGGGCACACGGAAGATGCTGCACCTCTACAAACTTGACAGTGATCATGAAGGCCTCCTCCGGGTCTGGCCAGTCCAGCTGCCGAGCGGTGTGACTGATCTGGGCAAAGCAGGTGGACAGATCCACCGCTGATGTGCTGTGCTTGGTCAGTTCACCCAGGGGCACCAGCTGGGGAATGGGGAGCGCTTAGAAAGGAGGGCTCAGGACACTGCCAAAGCCACCGCTTCCCCCATTCCTTCTTCAAGCATTCACAGAGCTGGGCAGGGCGGCTACACGAGGGACGAGCAAGCCTCCACCTCTGGAGGACACGTCAGCAAAGTGAAACCAGTTAACACCAGGAGGTAGCAGGAAGCAGTGAGTTTGCACACACCTGGCATCAAGAGCTTTCAGGGGGAAGGGGACATTCGGAGCGGGTTACCGCAATTACCCGCCCAATTACCCGCCCTTCAAGTCCCGGCAGAGACTAAGCTCCACCTCCAAGCCTGGGGCCCCGCCTGCAGCCCCGACCCCGCCCCAACCTCGTCCATCTGCACAGCGCGCTGCACCCGAGCCAGGGCCACATTGTACGTCTTCTGCAGCCAGGAGGGGATGGCAGGCTGGAACCAGCGATGGAAACCATTCAGAGCCAGGACTCCGTCCCTGGGGAGAGCCAGGGCTTAGTCTCAGGGAAGCCTTGGCCTTCCCTAACCCTCCACTCCCCTGTGCTCCTGCCGCCCGCCTGCAGCCGGCCTGCTGCCCACCTCTCCGAGGGGACTGGGCACAGCTGGCAGAGCTCCTTAAGGCTGACATACAGTGGGAACAGACTCTCGCCCATCTCTGGGGACACAGTGCTGCCGACCACTGTCGTGTGGTCCTGCACCCGCTTTGCCACCTGCGAAGGAAAGGCATGGTGGGCAGGGTGCAGGGCCCGGGGGGAAGGGTGGGGCCGGGAAGACTGTGGAGGGGCTCACCAGCCACTGCAGCTCCAGGAAAGCCATCGAGAAGAGGTCGATCTTGAGGACGCTGGAGGAAAGGCAGCAGGCTTCACTCGGTGGCACACACATGGATCCCTCTGGTCCCGGTTCCCCAATGTCCCCCCACCTCCTGACCCGGCTATCTGCTCACTTGTGGAAGATCTTGTTCCACGTGCGCTGGCACTGGTGCAGGTCACCAATGACGTCCTGTACCAAGCTTAGCAAGGCCTTGCCCGCCTCCAGCATGCCCTGGCAGGGACAGAGGTGGGCTGAGGAGGGCTGTCGGGACAGGCATCCCACCCCCACCCCCACCCCCCCCTCCAAACCCCTCACCTGCACCATGGGCTGATGGTGCTGCTGCTTCAAGTGGAACCATTCAGTGGTGCCAGTCTGTCAGCAAAGAGGCAGTGAGCAGGGCAAGATTGCTAGGCCCAGGCGCGTGCCCTCCCCATCCCCAGGGCAGGCACCATACCCGCAGGGCCTCGGTCACCAGCTGGGACAGTGGGGCGCTGTCTGGACACAGTTCTCCGAAGGCCTTCATCTTGCACATCTGTACCAGGACCCTGTGAGACGGAAGAACCGTGTCCAGAACGCCGGCTACTCCACACCCAGCACGTGCTCCTCCAGCAGGCTTCTCTCACTCCTGCAGACACCCCCCAGGTACTCCCTGACCCCACTGAGGAAGCGGAAGGGGAAGAGAAGCCACTGACCTGAGCAGAGACTGCAGCCGAGCTGGGGAGTCAGAGACAGAGAGAGGGAAGACTGAGCGGAACCTCTTGATGAGGGAGAGGCCATAGGCCAGCAGAGAGCTGAAAGAGGCAGCCAGCTCCTCCTGCTGCAAAGCCAAGAGATGCTTTAGGGACCTGGACAGCTGTTCCTGCTCCCTTTCCCCATTCCTGAGCCCTGCCTGCCCCCCCAACTCACCTGTTCTGCCTTGAGCCGGCCCTGGATCCACTGGTACTCGATGCTGGTGATGGGGTGCAGGAGGCAGCTGCTGGGGAACTCCAGACTCTGGTAGAGGCGACTGTAGGCCAGCCACTGCCTGCAGTGGACAGGGAGCCCTCAGCTGGGCCCAAGGGGCGCCACCTTCCCGCTGACAGCCCAGCCTCTGGTGGAGGAACAGCACCTCCCTGCTCCAAGGCCTCCGTGCAGCCCCATCCACCAGCATGGGCTGAGAACTAGTGGCTGAAGGTGACCCGCAGGATTTGTTGGATTTCCACAGATGCTTTGCAAATTACCTATCTCTTAAAGTGGGAGATTTAGCCAGGCTTGGTGGCTCAGCCTGTAATCCCATGCCTTGGGAGGCTGAGGTGAGTGGACTGCCTGAGCCCGCGGGTTCGAGACCCACCTGGGCAACTTGGCGAGACCTCATGTCTACAATAAAGCAAAAAATTAGCCGGCCGTGGTAGTGTGCGCCTGTAGTTCCAGCTACTTGGAAGGCTGAGGTGGAAGGATCGCCGGAGCCCAGCAGGTCGAGGCCGCGGTGGCCGGGAGCAGCCACTGCACTCCAGTCTGGGTGACAGAGTGAGACTCCAACTCAAAAATAAAAACAAAAATAAAAAAATAAAGTGGGAGATTTTAGAGTTTTAAACTTTAGGACCTCTTGCTTTTTTTGGAAAAATCAGATCTAGGGACTTGAGCCTTCACAAACATATGGCAAACACCAGCTGGAATGTCCCTTCGGATGGTTCAGGGAAGATGTCACACACACGCGGTCTCAGGAGGGCAGAGGACCAGGGAGAAGGGCAAGTCAGGGACAGCCTGAGGTCCCTACCATACTCCGTGGCCACCTGCATTGTGGGCTTGGGTCCTGTGGGCAAACCAGGCTCCTTACCACGTGGTGCTGGCTTGTCACCAGCCTCACCACCATCGCCCCCTGGTCTCCAGGACTACCCACCTGACAAGGACCTGGAAGCACACACGCTGCCCCTGGCCCAGAATCTCCCTTCCCCAGCCTCCATCTGCCCACCACTCAGACACCAAGTCCCAGCTCAGGCCTGAGGCAGCATTCTGCTCTGGTTCCTCCCCTGGTCAGCACCTGGCTGGGCCCTACTTCTGGTCTTCTCACATGTTCTGGAATGTCTGTGACTCCCGTGTGCCCTTCCTGCCATTCCCAGAATTCAACATAGTGCTGGGAATGGGAATGTCAGTGCACAAATTTGCTCAAAGGTTAAGGCATTGAGAACTGGAACCGGGGTCTGGGGCAGTGGTGGCAGACTCAAATGCCCAGAAGGACTCAGGAGATATAAGGGCCTGAATCAGTAGGCCCAGTGGTAACCGTGATGGACAGAGGCAGACACACTGCTTTGGCCAACCGCAGCCCAGCCAAATGACAGCCTTGAGGTTCCAGCGCTCGTGTTTCATCAGAAGCTGAAGACCTGGATCAGTTTGTGAAATCTCCAGGGTTTTCAGTTAGCAATTGATTCAAAACTTCAAACACACAGTTTGGGTCAAAGAGAACTCTCCCAAGGAGTTGACTTTGGGGCAGCCAGCTTGTAGAAGGCAGGCAGGGTGGGGAGGCTGGTGGCTGCCCAGACAGCCCTCCCAGGAGTTCTGTACAGGGCTGTGTACTCACGCCATGGCCTGGTGGAAGTCAGACAGGTCCTTCTGCGTGGCGTGGAGAAAGAGGATGGTGGCGGCCTGGGGACTCAGTGACCCATCCCAAGAGGTACTGCCCGCCTGAGTGGAACAGGTAGGAGAGTGTCAGGACCCAGCAGGCTGCCCTGGCCACACCCAGTCCTGCAAGGACAGTACCTGGTGCTGGGTGACTTCGTGGGACACGAGCTGCTGCAGAAGGTGGAGGTGCACGGTATAGCTGGGCTGGGAGCGGCTGGCCACAGTGGCTCTCTGCAATGAGGCCTCTCTGTGAGCAGACAGTACTCCACACCAGGCCACTGCGGGAGTGGGACACAGTCCCTGGCCAGACCCCAGACCTACCCGCTTGTGGATGAACTGGAACTGGAGGTGGCACTGGCCACGGTCTGGGTAAGTCTCAGTGCAGGGCTCCAGGAGGTACCACTGGTCCTCTCGGCAACGTAGGTCCTGGCAGGCAGAGATGCCCGGCCCAGGAGCATCAAGATCTCACACAGAGCCAGGGCAGGGGAGGCGAGGGGTGGCAGACCCCAGGCCTGGCTGGGTGTAGACGTGGAGCCCCTCCCCAGAATCCCTCACACCCCCCCTTCCCCCTCCCTCGGGCTCCTTTCCCCACTTCCTCACCTGCAGCCTCAGAACCACATTCCCCAGAAAGTCGTCCTGGCCTTTGTCCTTCCGGGCCTCCTTAAAGATTCTGTTTCAGGCAGGATCCCGTGAGGAAGTCGGGTCAAGTGTCTGAAGGCATCGGACTGGAAACTGCCCCCTGTGACCACCTGGTCCCAAAGGGGCCTCCAGCCCAGCATCCAGTGTGCGTGTTGAGGGGGAGGACAGAAGGAGCCCCCCAACACCCACCTTCGAAGCCCGTGCAGATCTGTGAGCTCCCCAAGCTTCTGTCGCACAGACTCCACGGTGTCTAGGTCCCTGGCGGGGCAGATGTTTGAGCGGGAGGCAGAGAGGGTGCCAATGACCCCTTCGGGGAGGAGCTCTGCCCCCTTCATCCTAGGATGCCTCCTCTCGCCCAACCTGAGGGCAGACTGGGCCACTCACCACATGTCCAGATGGAAGCTCGCACTGGTGACGTCCTCAAACTCCCTGGAGGGCGCGAGGGCATGGTTGAGGGCCTAGGAGGGTAGACCACCCCCACCTGACCAAGCTACAGGCAATCCCGGCCCAGAGCCTGTCTCCCAGAGCTGCCATCCCCCATGGAGTCTTAGCCAGTCCTGCCAAACTCCTCCCCTCCCACCTATATCCCATCTCCCTTTAAGGCAAGGCTTCAGGCACCCTCTAATTCACTCAGAGTGGCCCGACCCGCCCTTCCCCACCCATGCACGTGGCATTGGTGCCATTGGTCTGTCCCGTCTGACCTGCTGTCCACCTACTGTGCCTTGAAAGTGGGCTCTTCATCCAGTCTCTGCCTAGGGCCAGGCCCCTGAGCCAAGCCCCCTCCCCTGAGCCAAGAAGACCCGCGATTTCATTGATGAGGGGAGACACTGTCACCCAGAGGAGCCCCAGACAGGGTGGAAGATGGGAGGGGCCACGTACAGGATAAAGGTCTCATCCCAGACGGGGTTGAGTGTCTGGGTGATGACCTGGGTGCGATGCGTCTGCTCCTCGGGGATGGTGTGCCTCACCACGGCCTTCTGCCGCCGCCGCGACCCCGGGCTGCCTCCTGGCAGGCCCACCCCCTGCTCAATGCCCAGCAGGCAGTAGGGGTCGCTGAACCCTGGGGAGACATGGGAAGGACAAGGCAGCCATGGAATGGGCTGGGTCCCTTAGAGGGCCCCTCACTCCCACACCCCAGAGCTGAGCCTCCTCCTGGGGAGAAGGAAAAGGAAGGTAGAGGCAGGCTCCTCCAGGGCCCAGACCCCTGGGACGTCCTGGAGGTGGGCACTCCAGCCAAGAGAGTCCTGGGTCAGACTGTGAGCGGGGAGAAGACGGAGCCAGGAAGAAGCCCCTGGAGGACCTCACCCCACACTCACCACTGACATCCTTGCCCAGAATGCCCTTGGCCTGTTTCACTGTGGCCTTCAGACAAAATATTGGCTTCTGGAGGGAAGGGAGGGGGCTGCCTGAGTCCTAGAGAGGATGGGCCTCCCAGGCCCGCTCCCCGCCCGGGTGGCCCCAGCCGGGGGTTACCTGGAGCTCCCTGATCCGCTGCAGCATCAGCCGGTGCTCCTCTGGCTCCACGTGGAAGGCCTGGATAAGCAGACGGCAGGCAGGTAGGGGGGCGACTGAGGGCACAGGGCGGGGTGGCCAGGCCGAGAGGAGGGGGCTCCTGAGTCCCAGCCACAGGAAGTAGGTGGGGTGGGGTCTGCGCTCACCTCCTGCAGGTATCGAAGCAACTCAGAGGCCTCAGTCACGTGGTTGGGCTCGGGCTGACCGAGGCGGTGCAGGACAGTGTAGAGCGCTTCCTCATAGAGCAGGGCCCGCTGAGACACAGCAGGGTCACCTCAGGGACCCTGGCAGCCACCAGCCACCCCGGCACCGATACCTCATGCCCAGAGGAGGACAAGGCGCCATGTGCAGCAGAGGGGGCTGGGACCCAGAAGCTCCCTCCACCCAGGTTGCCACCATCAGCCCTGGCCCGTCGCTGAGGGTGGGGGGGCATTCAGGACGATGCATGGCTGCGTCCCCACCTCTCCGCACCCCGTAACTCTCCGAACCTTACCTCCTCGGGGGAGAAGTGGTGGGATGGAGTCTCAATCTATGGGGCAAAGTGGAAAAACAAGATGTCATGGGAGGACAGGCCCAGGCCGAGGGCAGCGGGGGCCCGGCCCGCAGCCTCCAGCCCCACGCATGCCCCGCACCTGTTCCCACAGCAGGCTTCCTGGGGGTCCGGCCCCCAGGCTGCCTTCCTCGTCCCCTGGCCTGCCGTGGCTGAGGTCCATGGACGCCCCGCTGGCCCAGCAGCGCGAGCCCTCCGCCCCGCGCCACCACCTCCCTCCCTTCCCCAGAGGAAACGGCGCTGCTTATCGGGCGGCCGCTCCTCACCCAGCGGCGGAAGTGAGGCCCGGCCGCGGAGGTAGGGGGGCGCCAGGCAGGCCTGGGGGCTGCTTAGCTGGTCCCCGAGCAACCCGCCCCACAGCAGGGACACCCCCTGCCTCATGGAGCCGGCGGCGCCTCTGAAACCAGAGGAGCAGGAGATGCGGACCAGGCCCACCAGAGGGAGGGGTTCAGAGTGGCTCAGACCCCCAGGCCTGAGGCCCACGGTGGCTCAGAGTACACCTGGAGACCCCACTGGGCTGGCCCAGGAGACTCTGCCCGGGAGGGGAGGGTCCCTCATCCTCAGTCCCAGACACGCACCCTGAGGCCGGGCCTGCAGAGCCTCACCTCCACCCCCGTTGCTCTCCTCCCCGCTAAGGTCACTCCTACCTCCTGGGCTGCTTGGGGCAGGGGATCCTGCAGATCTCTGACCCTGCGGCGCCTTATCTTGATGGCCTGGCGCAAGAGGGGAGGGCGCCGCTGGGGGTGGGAGAGGAGTGTCGCCATGGTGGCCTTGTCTGCCCTCCCCCTCAGCCGTCCGCTGGCACTGGGTGAAGATAGAGAAGCCACAGAATTATGCAAAGAGCCCAGGGCTGCCACCCTCTGCCAGGGAAGGGTGGAGGGAGGGCCGTGGGGGGGATGGAGGCGTCAGGGCTTCACTGCCTGGGAGGGGCCGTCTCTGGGTCCCTAGCACCTTCCCCAGTCAGGATCCTTGCCAGACCTTCCCCAGGCTGGAGCAGAAGGTGGACCTGGTGGGCGGGACCGGTCCTACTCCACCCTCCCACAGAGGCCCGGGAGGGCCCAGGGCTCCCAGCAGGGTGTGGCAGGGCCAGGTTGGGCAGTGTGCTGCTCCATCCATGTGTTGTGTCCAGGCTGGGCTGTGCACTGAAGGAAGCTGACCTGGGCCCAAGGGGTTCTCTCCCAACTTCCCTGAAGGGGCCTCAGACCCTGGGCAGGGTGGGGTGGGGCAGGGCTCAGAGTGGGGGTGACTGAGAGGCGTCTCCCCAGCCAGCTGCTCAGCCTGCCAGGCCCCACAGGTGACATTCCATGGAGGTGACGGGGCTGAGCTGTGGCAGGCAGAGGTGGCCCTGCCCCCACCACGATGGTCAGGAGGGTGCTCCCTTCAAATGCCCTTGTAGGGGGTTAGCCAAACCCAAGAGGTCCTGGGCGGGGCTGGCCAGAAGGGAAAGGCAGGAGAGGCCATGCTGCCTACTCTCCCAAGAGGACGGACTTGGTCTTCAAAGGACAGGAAAATACATTTCAGCTGGGACTTCCCAGAGCTCTGTGACCTGCTGACCCTGTGCCCAGTACCTGGGCTGGGTGGGGGATGAGGACATGCAGACCTGGCCATGGCTTCTGGCTGTTTCCCACTCTCCCCTTCCCTCCATGTTGGGTGGCCTCTGGCCACCGAACAGAGCTGTCCCAGTTGGGCTTCCAAGAGGTGACCCTCTCATGGGTCCTAACGTGCTCCACATGGCCTCTTTCCTCAGGCAACTGTGACTGGGGCCAGGACTGCCATTCCACAGGGGCCAACAGAAGCCTAGGCAGCAGACATGACGGCCTGGGACAACCTGTGTCCCACACCCTCCCGCCCAGGCCAGGTGCTGGCAGCATCACCCTTTGTCCCAGCCAGGGATGTGTAGGAGGGTGCGGGGGGTTGGAGACACAGCTGCCATCCTAGGAACCACATGGGCTATGAGGACAAGGGTCTCTCTTGTGCGAGAACCATCCTCAGAGCCTCTCAGGGCTAGACAGCTCTTCTGGAAGAGCTTACCTCAATCACCACACGGAGCCAGAAAGGGTCCAGTTACTTCATTTTTACTATTTCACATTTTCAGCAAACAAATCAAGGTGCAAACAACGTTTATTTCACATTAATATATTAACTGGATTTTTTTTGTCAAATAAATAGGGAATTCTCTTTAAATAACCACCTCCCCACGTCACAGCCGGTCCAGGAGCAAACAAGAGCAAAGTTTAGCGCATCCAGGGGGCACGAAGCTCAAAGGGGGAGGCAGGATGAAGGGCTGGCGCAGGTCACGTCAGCACGCAGGGTCACGGGCCCCGCCCCCAGTCCACCCAGCAGCCCCGACGGCATCGATGGGACGGACATGCATCCGCCAGTTCCAGTCGAGAAGCCCCTTCTAGAAGCAAGACAGAGGAGAGGGAAAGCAAACTCCAGAAACACTTGCAGAGAAGCGAGGGGGCTTCCTCCCCCGACACAGCGGCCTTGCCCCGATGCCACCCAACCCCTGGAAGCTCACGTTAAAGCTCCCACAGTCACTCCAAGTGGCAACAGCACGACCCAGGGCAGGGAGGGCGAGCTCGGCTGGGGATGGAACCTGGCTGAGTGGAATGTGGGCTGACAGCCTGCAGGACAGTGGCCTCCTGCCGCTAGGAACTGACCAGAAGAGGGAATGTGAACAGGCCTGGCAGGGGCCCACAGGGAAGACACCTGGCTGGTCTGCTGGGTTCATGAGGCCGAGCGTAGAGTGGCTACCAGACTGAGGGAGCTGGACCGCAGTGGAGGAGGTGGCCAGAGAGTCCCTTGTGGGGAGAAGCTACAAGAGAGAAACAGGAACAAGGGGACACCCGTGTTCCTGAGGAGAGCCCCAGAGATGGGGAGGGACGTGCGCTGAGCAGCGCTGTGGGCTCCGAGCTGGTGTGGGAAGTTGGGCAGCGCCTCTCCAGAGGCCGGGGGCCCCTCCATCCTGCAAGGCTAGTTCCTGGTAACTGTTTATGGTCAGACCTGGAGGAAGAACAAGGCCTTCCCTCACCTCCCCCAGCCGCAGCCACAGCCCAAGGGGAGGGGTAGGAAGGAGCGTGAGGGCAGGAGGGAGGGAGGAGGAGGGGGTCTACTGGGTCTTCTTATCTTCCGGGGGATAGTAGGGAGGTGGCGGAGGCTGGTTCTAAAGAAGGAAGAGAGGAAAAATCGTATTAGGAAGCTCAAAGCAAGGCAAAGTCTCCCCGGCACCACCTCCCCCCACTCACCGTGGGCATGTAGACATTGTGTGGGTTGCCCGGGTTGTAATAGGCGCTGGCAGCTGCTTCCGCGGCCTTGGCTTCGGCTGGGAGAGCAAACACATCCCATGTCGGTGACAAGCTCCCCTCCTCCGGCAGCTTCCCCAGGAACCAAGACCGGCCCAGCGATGCCTGGCCCCCAAGACCCAGGGCAGCTGGTGCTGGGAGCCCAGTTCCATCAATGGAAACAGAAGTTGCAACTGCCTAGGCACTTGCCACGTGCTGGCACCCACAAGCGTGTCTTACCCCATCTGATCCCTGACCCAATCCCACCAGGCGCCACTTTGAGCATCTGTGTGTAGACGAGAACGCAGGCACAAAATGACCCTGCTGGCCGCGCGGTACACGGCTAGCTACGGGATGGAGCTGGGGGCTGGAATCTAACTCGACACAGGCGACAGCTTTGCTGGTTCCCTGGAAAGTCCCTAGGCCAGGAGTCAGCCATCATTTAGGGCTCCCAGTTAGTCCCTGGCCATTCTCTGAGGCTCTCTGTGCAACCCTGGGGGGAGGGCCTCACCTGCGGGAGTGGAGGGGACATCCGGACCACTGACTGGAGGCTCCATGGGCCCAGGATAGGGCGGTGGCGGGGGCTGCACGTAGCCCATGGCCCCGTCCATCATGGGAGGTCCTGGATAGAACTCTGCTCGGCAAGAGAGCGACAGGAACTGGGTGAGCGCCTGGCTGGAGCTCCCTCTGAAGGCTGCCTCCCCATGAGCGCACAGCCCAGCTCCTCGAAGCACCCCCCAGGCCTCTCCAGCTCTCCATTGGTCCTGAAGCAGCTCAAGGAACAAGCCTCCCCTCTAGAGGCCCCTGGCCTGGGAGGGGGCATCGGTGGATAGGGTGAGGACGGCAGCAGAGGACACACTCACCGGGTGGGGGCGGTGGATAGGGGTAGCCAGGAGGGCAGGGGTACATTCCATTGGCGACTGGTGGGGGAAAGACATAGGCCCCGCTGGGCATGTAAGAGTAGCCATAGGCTCCATTGGGGGCTTCACCTCTGGAGGCTACAAGTACAAGGGAAGAGAGAAGTGAGTGCTGCCTGCCTGGGGCTAGGAGAGGGCGGCCCCTCTGCCTGCAGAGGGGAGCCACTGGGCCTTAGGGGTGCCCAGCAGACATACCCCACCCTACCCTGTTCCACTTCCCACCCACATTTGGGTCGGCCTCGGCTCAGGGATGTGGTAAGAGGAGAGAACGGGGAGAGAGGTCAGAGCCTAGGCAAGGGAGGGCCAGGATAAGGGTACAGGAGAGGGTGGAGGAAAGAGAAGTTCAGCGATGGGGTAGAGAATATGCAGGGGTTGGGGGCAGGTGTGATGGCTCACACCTGTAATCCCAGCACTTTGGGAGGCCAGGGCAGGAGAATGGCTTAAGGCCAGGGGTTTGATACCAGCCTGGATGACATCGTGAGACCCCCCCATTTCCACCAAAAAAAAGAGAAAAGATTAAAAAAAGCCAGGAGGCCGGGTGCGGTGGCTCAAGCTTGTAATCCCTTGGGAGGCCAAGGCAAGAAGATTGCCTGAGCCTAGGGGTTTGAGACCAGCCTGGGCATCTTGGTGAGACCTCATCTCTACAATAAATAAAAAAAAAATTAGCCGGGTGTGGTAGCGCACCCTGTAGTTCCGGCTACTTGGAAGGCTGAGGCGGAAGGATCGCTGGAGCCCAGCAGGTTGACGCTGGGGTGGCTGTGAGCATGACACTGCACTCCAGGCTGGGCGACAGAGTGAGACTCCAACTCAAAACAAACAAACAAAAAACCCGGGAGGCTGAGACAGGAGGATCGCTTGAGCCCAGCAGTTTGAGTGAGGCTGCAGTGAGCTATGACTCCAGCCTGAGTCACAGAGTGTTGCCTTGTCTCTTAAAAAAAAATAGAGAGCTGGGCTCGGTAGCTCAGCCTGTAATCCCGTGCTTTGGGAGGCCGAGATGAGTGAATTGCCTGAACCCGTGGGTTTGAGACCCGCCTGGGCAACTTGGCGAGACATCTCTACAATAAATCAAAAATTAGCCGGGCATGGTAGCGCGCCTGTAGTTCCAGCTGCTTGGAAGGTTGAGGCGGAAGGATCGCCGGAGCCCAGCAGGTGGAGGCTGCGGTGGCCGGGAGGCGACGAGTCAACTCAAAAAAAAAAAGAAAAAAGAGCCAGAGAGGATGTCGGCTGAACACACTGTTTGGTAATTTAAAGTGGTTGCTAAATGGTATCTTAATGGTTGGGTTTTTTGTTTTTTTTCTATGAGGCCATAATAAAACGTCCTTGAGTCCAAACAACTTAGACAAATGTCATAAACCTGCTCCAGGCAGGGGAAACCCAGGCTTTGAGGTGCAGGACAGAGTTGATGCTGATTACAGGCTTTCTTCCTAACTCTCAAGCCCAACCAGCCTGGTGCCCGGACACTTATTTCTTGAGTACTTAAAAAACAAAACAAAAAGGAAGCAAAATTAAACCAAAACCCCACATGTTCAACGTGCCCTTGGCCCCTAATCTTCAGAGTCTGGATACCTTGAGATGCCACCTGGAGCATCCGTTGTCCAAACTCAATGGCGCCCCCTGCTGTGAAGGTCAACTTGTAGGAAGCAGCGCCTTCCCAGCCACCTGAGGAGGAAGGGCAGTGAATAAGCAGCACCGTGGAAGAAAAAAGGTGATGCAAACAGATGGCTACTTGTCCTCTCCAGGCCCCCATCCAACACCCTAGAGGCCTGCAGAGAAAGGGGCTGCAACGTGATCCGGAATTCTCCGTGCCACGGTTGCTCGGGCCTGTCACCTGCTGCTGCAGCCTGGCCTGACTCCTGTTGTGTCCACTTCTCCCTTTGGAACAGGAGGCTTTTTCTTCCTGGAACGAGCCCATCCTCCCACTCCCAGCCCAATAGGCACATGGGCACTAAGGTCACCTCGGTTTGGTTCTTTTTTTTTTTTTTGAGTTGGAGTCTCACTCTGTCACCCAGGCTGGAGTACAATGGCACGCTCATGTCACCACAACCTTTACCTGCTGGGCTCAGGTGATCCTTCTGTCTCAGTCTCCCAAGTAGCTGGAACTACAGGCATGCGCCACCATGCCAGGCTGATTTTTTGATTAAGTGTAGAGATGAGGTCTCACTAAGTTGCCCAGGCTGGTCTGGTCTTGAACCTGTGGGCTCAGGCAATCCTCTCACTTCAGCCTCCCAAAGTGCTGGGATTATAGGCTTGAGTCACTGTGCCCAGCCTCGGTCTGGTTTTAAAACTAACATTAGCTGGGCATGATGGCTCAAGCCTGTAATCCCAGCACTTTGGGAGGCCGAGACAAAAGGACTGCCTGAGTCCAGGGGTTCGAGACCAACCTGGGCAACTTGGTGAGACCTCGTCTCTACAATAAATCAAAAAATCAGCCAGGCATGGTAGCATGTGTCTGTAGTTCCAACTACTTGGAAGGCTGAGGAGGAAGGATCGCCTGAGCCCAGCAGGTCGAGGCTGTGGTGGTCAGGAGTGTGCCACTGCGCTCCAGGCTGGGGGGCAGAGTGAGACTCCAACTCAAAAAAAAAAAAAAAACCCTAACATCAAGGGGGTGTCTCTCCACCCCCAACAAAGCACTCAGCAACTTCACAGGAGCAAGTACACTCAGCAATAACTGATGTTCGAGCTTAGAGCAGACTTCTCATCCTGAGTGAGGCCAAAGATGAACCCTGGCCCCTCTAGCCTGGCTTCTGCCCAAAGCGAGACCAAGGGGTCCTTACCAGCAAGGCTTAGGCCTGGCCAGGTGTGAAGGGGAAGCAAGTCGGTACAGAGGCAGAGGCCTTTGGTGTCTACTAAGGAGATGGCCCAGAGCAGGGCCTCTCCAGCTTCCTAGGGGCACAGCTGCCTCTCATGAAAGGCCCTTCTCAAGAATCTAACACAGCTCCTTCCCGAATCTAAAATGTGTACACACTCCAGGTCACAACAGGCATCTTCACTTAATCTGCAATCTTCTGCGGACTTCCCTCTCGGAAAAAGTGATTCGAGCTGCCATCTTAACACTGCATTCTTTCCTGGTTCTTGACAACCAAAACCCACCTCTGCTGCTCAGCTGGCAGGCCAGGCATTCATCTTGATGTTAATCCAGAGTCGGGAAGAGGACAAGGCTAGGGAGGGCTAGAAGGGTCTAAAGAGGACATCCCCAAGGTGGCAGTCGGAAGCACCGAGATCACCTCCCTGGAGGCCCCCATCCACGTCCCCGAGCTCCCTTGTCACACACCTCCTGCTTCAGCCTTCACTGTTCCCTTGATGTAGTTTGCACCGAACACAGGCTGCTTAATCTCACAGTCCTTCATCAGATAAAATGGCATCATGAAGGACTGCATGGCATCCTTCCCCTTGGACAGAAAGATGACCTGCAGGGAGAGAAGACGAGGGCCATCAGCACCTGAACCACAGCCCACTCCACCATTGCTTCCTGCCTGCTTTCTGGTGCCATGAGTTTGCTCCCAGTGCCAGGACCAGCGGCCCACACCAGGGTCCAGGACACAGCCCCAGGGCTCTCTCCCCATACTCTCTCCGAGAGAGGTCTGTAAGGTAGAAGGCCTTGCGTGCAGCCTGGAGAGGGTAGCCTCATATACAGAAGAAAAACGTGCGGGTCACAGACAGGATATGTGAGTGGGACAGAATGCTCTGTCATTCTGTCACCGAAGTGGCGATGAGGAGGTGGTGGGTGGGGCACCCACGTGAAGGAGTCTGTAGAGCTAGGGGAGGGCAGGCAGAGGTAAGGCAGGGAAGGGTTCCTGGAAGTGGGAGTCTCTAGCCTGAGCTTTGCAGAACTGAGAACGATGGAGCAGCCGGGCGAGAGTTCCCAGAAGGGGGCTGTCACAACTTTCCTACAGACATCACTCTGCCAAAACAGCAACAAGAGCTCTTCCATCCTGTGCTCAGAGAACTCATGACTTCAAACTGTGACTGAAGATGTCAACTTGAGCCTCTAAAGACGCAGTTTTGAGCCTCCACTACCTCTGTTAAATTGTGGAGATTAAAACTTTAAAATGAGCCGGGCTCGGTGGCTCAGCCTGTAATCCCGCGCTTTGGGAGGCCGAGGTGAATGGGTTGCCTGAGCCCGCGGGTTCGAGACCCGCCTGGGCAACTTGGGGAGACCTCATCTCTACAATAAATCAAAAATTAGCCGGGTGTGGTAGCACGCGCCTGTATTTCCAGCTACTTGGA